CCGCCCGCCGCCGGCCCGCCCGGCCCGCCAGAGCCTGCCCTCGCCGGGGCCTGCGCAGGGAGGGCCGGGTGAAGGCCCGGGGTGCCGAGGCACAAAGCCTTCCTCCGAAGCTGGGCGAGCCGAGGTTGAGGACGCCTCGGCGGATCAGAGGAGCCGAGCTCCCACCTTCGCGGTGCATTTGTCCCCCCACAAGCTCGCCTCTCCCCGAGCCCCACAGGGAGCTGCTGGGCCACGTTTCCACCGCCAGCACGCTGGCTGTCCGGCTGCGGCCTCCCTCGGCAGGACCAAATCCCACGGCACCTTCGGGAGCGCCCACATCAGCGTTGTCCCCATCGAGACGCGGAGGCCCGAGGGCCACGGTGCCACCGGCGGCTCGGATCCCAGCCTGATACACACCACGCCACCATACAACACCATGGGTAGGGTACAGCGTGTTTTCAGCAGACAAAAAAAGGGTAATACACGTATACAGGTATGGTCTGATTCCATTTCTATTTTAGATTTCCTCTTGATTATTTAATTTTGTAAATAAAAAAAGTTAGACACCTTGTTTCATACGCATTTTTTTCCCTTGGATTTTTTTCAACAGCAGTCAAAAGTGCCCCTGCTGAGACTTGTAATGCTGTACCACGTCACATTTCTCAGCACAGTATTTGATGTCTCTTTCAAATGCTTCAAATCGTGGAGGCTATAGTTTCTCCTGACATTGGCTGCTGATGTTAGAAATTCTCCAAGGCTGCCAGTTATTCCAGCAGGGCTCTAAAGTGCTAGGAAAGCACTTCAAAATGTTGCTGTTAAAGGTTATAAAAAGGTACTGGAAAAATCGGCACACGTCTGTCAATCCCAACCAGACTTTTGTCTTGCCTTACAACCTCCACCCCTGCTAAGACTTGGCCTTTGTCTAAGCCCTCCCCTCACTACAAAAAACATCTAACTGGTTTGAGTCTTGTCACAGGTTATCTAAGACTTATCGCAAGACTTTTCTGACTGCAGTAGGTTCGAAATCAGCATCAGTCTTCGCATAGAAGTGTCCAAGTGTCAGGAAAAGAGCTGACAGTCAAGTATTGGAGAAGATAATAATGAGCACGGGAATAACGAGCTATCAGCAACTGTCTTGAAAGGCCAGAATCCCGCTGCAGTTCTCCTCTCCCTCAGTCCCTGAGTTGGACCGAGGGCTTGTGAGCCTGTCACTACCAGTCTGGATGCATCCCCTAAAGCAAAAGCTTCCCGTCTGTGGCCTGAGGGACGCACAAACCCATCAGACGATGCAAAGGCTCTGCGAGGTATGGCTGGGCACAGAGCCTGCAGAACCCACCTAGCCAGAACAAAGAGTTAAGAGGAACATTGCTTTCTGTGGCAGGATGCTGTCCATGTCTCCAGCTGAAACCACGTGCTGTGGACTCAATGCCCATGCAGGGAAAAGGCACAAAGGACCAGCAATGCCTCATTTTTCCTGGGTTTGATCTCTGCCCTGAGAATTCAGCCCACATGGATTCACAGCCTCACAATGGCACCGAGTTGGCAAGCTGTGACAGCCTTGCTCCAGAGGACACACGACAGAGGGACTGCCGGGGGATCAGAACGTGATCCTCAACTTCTGCTGACACAACAGGAACCTTTTAACGTGAAGAGCTGCGAGCTGAGCTGGTGGAAGCTGATGTCTAACCAGCCACGGCTGCCTGGGAGCGAGGCAAACAGCAGGCAGAGGAATGGAAATGGCTTGAGCCTGCCTGGGGCATGGGGCAGGTTGGTGTGTGCTGTATGAAACAGTGCAAAGGCTGGGACAGCTTTCACACTGCTGTAAGACGGCGACAGGAGCACTTCTGTCTGGGGACTCCATGCAGGACAGCTGTGCAGTCCTTCAGGTCACTCTGGGGACTGACAATCTCCCCAAACACAGGTCTGCCTGCTTTCCCCACTCCACCAACTGAGCACCAACAAATTTGTTGCAGGCATGGCTGTAACTGGAAGCAGCGGTTGCGCTGGAAAACGCAGCTCTTTGGTATGAGGCTCCTTTAAGGGAGTTGCAGGAAGGAATTAAAAAAAAAATAAAAAAAAAGAAGTGGCGTGGTTACCAAAGCTGCTAACCACAGTGCCGGGGAGCCTCGGAGGGCACCAGGACAGCCCAGCGTCACATGCCTAACGCATCCTGTCTCCAGACTTCCTCACCCGCGATGTACGTGGCTTGCACATACAGACCATCATTCAGCATCAGGAAATCTGCATCGGACAAGAGAGAAAGGAAGCAGGCGTCAGATAAATGGAGCAGCTGAAGCTGGCTGGGAGGAGCTGGGCTCTGTGGGAAAGAGCTTCTCCCCACCCAGACATGGCAGCGAGACAGCAGTGTGGTGCCATCCGTGCTACGGTGGCTCTGCTCCATGCTTGGCTGGAGCATGGAGCCCTTTGGTCTCTCCAAAGGGCTCACGAAACACCACCAGCATCCAAGGGGAAAAACACTGGAGCAAAAGCCTAAAGCAAAAGCCCAGAGAAAATCCCAGGCAGAGCGAGTCTCCCTGCAGCTCCCACTGAAGCAGGGGATGAAGATGCGTTCGCAGCAGCCCCTGCTTTACTCCAGCACCCGGGAGCCCTCACACTGTTGTCTCCATACCAATACCTGCTGTCCCCATACCAGTACCTGCATCGGAGTCATAATTTAGTGTCCCCTTTTTGTGTTCAATCCCCAGGAGCTGGGCGGGATGCAGAGACGCTGCCTCCAACGCGGTCTCTACTGAGCACCCTTGAACAGAGAAGGGGGAGGCATTAGGGCAGCAAACAGCCCCATTGCCAGAGCAGCCCAAATCCCCTTGGCTAAGGCAACTGTCGGCCTGGCAGGGACCTGAGCTAGAACATCCTCGCCACAGCCATATGGAGCTGGGGAGGGGAAACATCCCTACGGGAGATAACGGGAAGAGGAGAACTGAACACCTAGGGTATGGGGAGGGGAAAGTCATTCACCTTTGTGAGAAAGGAGCAGGAGAGTTCACCTCTCATTAGTGCTATGGGTTAAGATGAAACCTCCCCTCAAAAAGTTGCTTATCTGTGGCCAGTGCCGCTGATCCCAGCCCTTCTCATTGTCTTGGGCAAGAGGGAACATTCCCTGGTGGAGCGGACACAGCTGGCAAGAGCAAGACCTCTTCCCAAGTCAACGTAGGGGGCAACACCTTGTGGACAAGGCTCACTTACCTGTGGCTTCTTGGAAGTGTCGCACACATGTGTCCATGGTTGCCACACTACCGCTCAGGGTCTTTGTACCTGGGAGAGGAACAGGATGGCACTGCGCAGGTCCCACAACTCATAGCAAGGAGAAGCGGGGCAGTGGGAAAGCATAATGTGACCAAAAGGGGTAGAAATCCTGGGTCACACGAGGAGTGAGTTGAAAGGCCCACAGCCATGGCTGCCGAGTGACAGAGTGAGGCGAGAGCGAGCCTGTGTTGGCGGCACAGGGAGAGGTACCGGGATGTCACCCTGCAGCTCCACCATAAAACCAGCTGGACTGGGTGAAACTAGCTCACAACGCAGGCACCTGCTGCCAGAGACAGAGGAAGGGAACTGAGAAAGGAATGATCCTTCTCCGAAATATCTTCCCAGTCTCCAACTGCTTGCAGTTTAGGGATATTTGTTAGCAAGAAGTGGTGGTGTTATAGTAAAGACAAGGGACAATAAATATCTGTGGGATTTCTCTGTCCTTTCTGACCCCACTGGGGATCTAGCATCCATGACATTGGGCAACAAGGTGTTCAAAGGTGTTGCGGACAGCTGAAAATTGACAGATTCCTCCTCACTCCACCAAGATGGGGCAATCCCCCTCTTCATGAGGTGCCTTATTATCCCCAGGGCCAAGTCACTGCAGAGCCATTAACCGATCAGGCACCAAAACCCAAGAGGGTGGCACAACCAACAAGCACTGCAAGGCGTGCTGAGCTCTCCAGAACAGACACGAGTGGCAGCGCTGCCCCAGCTCTTTTGCAGGACGGCACTTACCTGCAATGTAGGTGTTCAGCCCATCGATCTCCACCACCTGCTGACCCAGTGTGTGCCGACCTGGTGCCAGCCCCATGCCAGCAATCGCATCCGTCACCAGCACCAGGCCTGAGGAACGCAAGGAAAGAGGCTGCGTTAGCTTTGCAGCCGACCTTGCTGCAGCTCCGAGCGCTGCGCCATGCTGGTCCTCCCAGAAAGGGGCCAAAGCGTCTCTAGCCACATCCGACCGAAGCAAGAGGGCTGGTGGATCAGCACACATGGCTGTGACCTGTTTCAGGCAGTGAGGGCAGCATGCCACAGCACTTGCGCGAGTGTTTTGTGGGAGATGGCACAGTGCTCGGGATGGCTGGTGACACTGCGTGGGCCCGACATGGCTCACCTTTGGGGTGGGCTCGGTGGGCGATTCGTAGGGCGGCGGGATTGGTGTGGATGCCATCAGAGATCATGCCGTAGAAGACTCTCCGCCCAGCAGGAATCTTGTCACTTGTCAGCAGCCCCACGATCCCAGGGTCACGATGGTGGAACTGCCCGAGGGGAGAGAGGACCAGCTGTGGAGCATCACCAGGACTTGTGGGCTGAGACCCTTCCCATCAGGGGACGCAGCTACCATCTCTATCAAACAGCGCCTGGCAGCTAGGTTCTCCATCTTTTACCAGACAAATCTGGGCATTTCCTCGAATTTCAAGAGTCTGATACAGCCTTGACTCTCTTTTAGATCAGGCAGTAGAAATGTGAAGCCAGAGGTTCAGTGCTGAAACCTCAGTGCAAGGCCTGTTACGAAACAAGCTGGGGAGAATATGCATCTGTGGGGAGCAGGAGGGCAAGCACCAAAAGCAATACCAGCGCAGGGCAAGTGCCCTCGGCTACTCACCGGCAACATGGCATTGAAGAGGTGAGTGATGAAGGTAGCGCCATGCTGCACAGCCTCCTCAGCCTGAGAGAGATTAGCCACCGAGTGACCTAGGAACAAAGACCAACACATGATTTTTCTGCCCGTCTCTCCATTTATTTCCCTACAGGAGTGAAGACACGCTCTGTCACTAGGACTCTACTCTGATGCCCCACCCTGGGCTGAGGTCTGAGATGCCAGCCTCGGCACAGAGGTGTCTGGCCATGACCATGGGGGACTCGGGCAGTGGGTGCTTCACCTGAACGCATTCACTGTTCACATCACAACCATCACAAATGCTGCCTTGCTCCCAGAGAGTTGCCCTCAGGCTAGGCTAGAGGTCCAAGGACACGCCTGTCTGCTGTCCTCAGATGTTTAAAGGCTTTACAGAGAGCTGTCAAGGGAGTAGAGACAGTGGGGACTTTGCTAAGAAAGAATATGGGGATAAAACTAGCCAGAAGGAAAATTCTGTTTTCCCCAACACGGACAGCAGCTCTAATGCTCTGTGGGCAAACCTTGCCTTTCTGTGGTTCTTTATGTGGCTGTGAGATAAGAGATGCTCTGCTGTGCGAATGCCCTTCTCACTTAAGGTTTAATTTCACCCTGAGTAACTACCCCCCCTTTTTTTTTTTTTTTAAAAAAAAAAAAAAGGATTTCTTTAATGATTTCTTTAATGAGGCAAAGAAGAGTTTGTGAAACAGAGGACAAGAAAAATGCAGCCAGTTTTAAGTCAGTGGCCTTGGAGGCCCTTGCTGCCAGTGGCAAGGCAATGGAGGTAGAGGTCTCCTACAGCACTTCCAGTTGAAAAACAGAGTTATCAAAACTCAACAATAACCTTTGGAAAATTATTTCACCTGTCAAACAAGGCCTAAAGCAGTTGAACTTCAGAGTTTGAATCTTTCCACATCGTCAACCCTCAGTTACACCTTTATTCAAGTAAGACTGCTATTCTTTCCTGTGTATTTGCAGCACCAAATGCTACCTTGTGTTAAACTGCAGGGGCTTTTCAATCAATATGAAGTTTGGCCCTTACCGTACAAAGGGCGACAGATTCGCAGCATCAAGTGAGGTCCCCATTTGTGACAGGTCTGTCACCTCCATATCGGCCAGGCAAAAGAAAATCCCACCCCATCCAGTCACACTGAGACACCATTAGAGATGCTACAGCCCTGAGAGAGGGGCTGCCTGGCCCATGTGGCACAGGGAGACGGAGCCTCCCTAAGCCTCCTCCTCTCCAGCCCTTACCGAGCGAGACACAGATGCCCTGCTTGGTGAGTTCCCGGATCACCTCACTGCTCCTCTTCATCTCTGGGGCCAGGGTGACTATCCGGACACAGTCCAGGGACCCGTAGGTGGCAAGCAGGTCCTGGAAGGCACCTGCCTCAAAGGTGCGGAGACAGTGCTCCGGGTGCGCCCCTTTCTTCTCCTTGCTGATGAATGGTCCTTCCAGATGGGCCCCTGCCCAAACAGAAACACAAAGCTATGACCCTTTCCCCGCCAAGGACCAAGAAACCTGCTGTGTCTACCCTGCTCCAGTCAAGCTCTTCCCATTCTCCCGCAGCAAAACACATGGCTCGGGTAACTCTGAGCTCAGCACAGCGAAAGATGCAGCGCTGGCAACTGGCCAAGCCAAGCCACCCCACTGCCATTAACCTGTGGGGCCCAAAAGGGCTGGAGCAGTGTGTGTATCATGGCAGAGACCACGGCAAAGGCCAGGCACAGGTTGAGGGAGAAAGCGGGTCTGTGCCCTCCTGTGCACCCCTCCCATCAAGATAGCTCCAGCCCCCATTTTGTCCTGTCCCTACAGTAGCTTCTTTCTCCTTAACAATGAACAAGATAATTGCCTACCTAGAGTATCATCAGAAAGGATAGCGAGGGACAAAACCACTTACCCAGGATACCTGCTCCGTGGGCTCCACCATTTCTTATACTGATCTGAGGGAGAACCTAGAGAAAGGGGTTTGTCAGACATGGCACCCCAGACACAGCACCCCAGCCTGCCAAAACAAACCCAGACCTCGGGTCCAGAGAGAGCTTTGTAGCTGGACCACTTGGGACCATCAGCCAAACACAGCTCGCAAAGAAAAAGCCAGCTGCAAGCCCCGTTGTGCAAAGCTGGCCTGGGAGACATCGCTGTCTTAGCGATGTCTAAAGGTTAAGGGCAAGAAATCCAGGGGTAGAGTCCAGCTCCTCATGCCCACAGCTTTTCCGCCAAGGCAGTTATCCCAGTCTCTGCAGTCCCAGCCCTTGGCCCTCTCACCTCTTAGTACCAACCTCAGCCCTTTATCACCCTGCAGATGAGAGGGGAAGAAAGTCACTTGCCTGGTGGTACACAGATGGAGGAGAGGTCACCAGGGTGGGACAGAAGGAGGTCACTCCATGGGAGAGGATTTTCTGACTGACCAAGTCAATCCCTGATTTGAAGTCATCTGTAGCCAGGGAGAAGTCCACCCCAAAGCCTCCTGCACCATGAACAAAACAGAGATGAAGCTGCAGCCTCCCCGGTGGATGTTTTCCCACCTGAAAATGCCGAAGAAACATTTTGTGTGACTGGAGTGAGCCACTCCATTTGTACAGCACTGACCAGAAGCAAAGGGCTCCACCAGCACTTCTCCTGTCCTACATTTGCAAGGCTCTACGAGTACAAATCCAACCAACGCCGTCCTGCTGAAGTGCTTTTCCCACAGCATCCCAGCGTTTTGCAACTTTTTATTTTGATGCAGGGCAAAATCTGAGGATTCCCCATTGAAAAGGGGATCTAACTTCCAACATAAGCTACTATAGAACAAGCCTCTCTTGACCCTCAGGAAAGAGCTACTGCAGGTAAGGTTTGTTCCCTCGAGAAGTCCTGCTCTGTCCTCCCTGCATCCTGGAAAGGGTAGGGCGGGCATCCTGCCAGCACAGGGGCAGGGACTGTTGATGAAAATGAGGTTAAGAGGAAAGCTGGGCTGAAACCACCACCCAGCCAAAGGGGATCAATTATGCAACAGCAGCAATCACGGGCAAAATTGTTCTTTATCGTTAGTTCGGTGACTCACATCTCCCTGGAGCAGCTGAAACGCACTTGGTCATGGGCAGTATGCACACAGCAGGATTGAAGGTCAGTGATGGACAAGCGTGGGACCCCCACCCCGCTGCGAGCGTGTGTGGCTTTGCCATACCGTTGATCTGGACGTCGATGAAGCCCGGGGCGATGATGCTGTCCTTGCAGTCCAGCTGGATGTCAGCAGAGCCCTTCTCGTCAAAGAAGAGTTTCTCTGGGTTGAGGATCTTCCCTTCTCGCACCCACAGGTCCTCCCTGAAGGGACAGTTACACACACACCAAGCTCTTCTGCCATCTGTGGTGGAGCACATGGGAGCAGGTGGCCATGGCCCCAGGGACAGGGGTGGCCTCAGGCAGAGCAGACCCCACCGGCACCCTCTGCCATGGGCTCTCCGATGTCTACTAGGGCAAAGCTGCTCTTCCAGCAGTGAGATGACTGGCAGCCCTCTCTCTGTGTGGCCTCTGGCTTTACAAAAGTCGTGGGAATGGGATTTTCATGGGCTGCCTGCCAAATGTGGTGGCGATGGCCAAGGGGCCCAGGGGCTGGCGGAGGAGGCAAAACGAAAGACGAGGGGAGCAGAGAGGGGCCGTACAACACGCACGCCTCATCTCCTTCAGAAATCAGGCGGAGGGGATGAGGGACGGTGGGAGTGCAGGGGGGCGAGAGCCGGCAGCTGATGCACTGGAGGACATGGGGACAGTCCCTCGGGCACTCCAGGTTAGCTCTGCAGCCCCTCCGTGAGCCCCGGCGCCCCCCGGCACCCCC